ATTAAACTGAGAAGAAAAGTCCTCTATCATTATTCTATTGTCGCAATAGTTAATGAGTTATTAACTTATGAAAATAGCTAAATTCACCCAGACCACCGCCAAATGCAAGCGTATGACAGGACTGCCCAGCGCGGTGAGGCGCGCGTTTTATATATATATATATATATATATATATATACATCTTGTATATGTATTTGTGTTCTATCGTTAGAGCAAATATTAGATCAGGACTCGGTAAGATTTGCACTTCTCGACCGATTTTCGACTCTGCTCCGCTTCCCACTATTCTCCTCATCACTCACCTCGCGCGCAGTCTAAATGCCGCTCGGCCCTCAGGAGCGTATAAAATATAGACATGAGGTGCACTCGCTCCTTATAAACCTTATAAACTTCATTTTATCTTTTTTTTTCCGCTCATTATATATTATAATTAAGACAAAATGAAGCAACGTGTAAGCGCTCAAAGCGAATACATCCAATGAATTTTCAATAGTTTTCCACGTCACCCTTGAAGTACTATTGTTGACGCGTTTTTTTTAAATGGTAACCCCAGTAGGTCTAGTCCACTGATAAAAATGATGAATTGTATAATCATGTAATTAAATACAAACAAAGAGAAATGAAATATACTTATACTGATTTTCGAAATCTTTTATTGGCGAGATCAGATTCGTTGATTTGCATATCACATGTAGTGGATCGTATAAGACGAGGCAAAGAATCATCGCTCAAGGAAGAACGTCTCTAATTTTTTATAAGCTTCATTTTTGAAAAGGATGTCTTACATAAATATGTAGATCCGAACATGGAATGAATTCGAAGTCCGAAATCACGAAGCTTGGGGTATGATGATTCTATCAACATTTTGTAAAAATCGGCACCAGTTTCTTTAACCGTTTTAAGTGAAATATCGTTCTGCAAATCACATAATTCATCTTGCAAGTCAATGTGCTGTCCTTCAATTGGCGTTGCAAGGGGATTTTCGAAAAGAATTAATTCAGTTTCTCGAAGCAAGTAAACCGTGTATCGAATTCATCTATAAGAGAATCTAGAAAATGAATATATTCTTTGAAATTACAGTTATTGTCATGTTCTTCGAGAAGAATTCGGCAAGAAGGAAAAAAATGAAAAATATTATCATTTAAGTGAAGTTTTAATAACTACAATTTTTTTGGAAAAGAATCAACGTGACTAACTAATTGAGAAATATTTTGGTCTATCTTTTGCAACTTTAAATTAAGTTGATTACTTATATCAGTAATAAAAGCGAATTCAATAAGAAAAGTGACATCTTCCAAAAGAGATATATACGTGAAATTTTGAATTATTTCTTTCAGAAAAAGGAGAACGTCTTTTCTTATTGCAAAAAAAAAACTTCTAAACATTTTGCAGCACTAAGCCAACGAACTGAACAATGAAGTGGGACATCTGTGTAAACAGCTTTATGTTCAGCAAGAAATATTTAAAATAAATAATTCTAATGAACGTGGTTTATAAATCAAACATATAAAAAAAAAGAAGCATGAAACCACAGCACTGGATGTTGTTTGTGAAATTTAATTATTCATTACATTAATAAAAAAATCTTTAGACATTTCGGCCACAATCTGTAAAATCATTTTGTCTATAAAATAGATAATGATTCAATCCTCATAAAATTGACTAGAAGTTATTAATAATAGTTTAATTTTTAAATTAGAATTTGGAAATTCTTGTTCTACATAACTTGCAACATGATAATTGGCGCTATTTGTTGCACGATGCACCTTAACAAGATGAAAGAACACGTTTATACATATTTATACGACAGCTGAATTCAATTTGAGTAAAAATATTAAGTTAACTCATGTCGAACATCAGTACTATCTGAGTACAAAGAAAAATATTTACACGATTTTAGAAGATTTTGTAATTTATTTCTTATGGAATCATTGATATCAGCAATTCTTTTCTTGATGTTACAGTTTTTGCTAAAGGAAATGTTCATTGTTTCCTCCACAGTTAAGGAATTGCTAAAAAAGCTTTTACTACTTCAATAATACAATTTTTGATAAAAAACGTCTTCGGTGAATGGCTTCGAATTTTGTGCTATAAACAAAGAAACAGCATAAGAGGCTTGCAGGGATTTTCCAGAAGAAGAAAGAAAAAAAGATGTCTTTTGATGTTTTGGCCACAATCTTCAGTAAAATTACAAATATTAGTAAAACGTAGAATTTACATATATCTGACATTGAATTCAGCTGTCGTATAATATACTAGATGGGGTGAAAAGTAACCTCCTTGACCGCCAGAATGCGCCACTACTGCAAAAAAGTTTATGGTGCCTTGTAGTCCGTTCATATTTAGGCAGACATGCCAAGTGGCAGTGCGATACTGCCCTTAGTTTTGTTTTGAGAGCTGATTGTTGTTGACGTGTTTGCGAAAACGATTTTCGTTCTCTCATAAAACATTATTTTTTGAGAGGCAAAACGGCGAAGGAAACAAAAGAAAAGTTGGATAAATATTATGTGGCTAATACTCCGTCAGATTACACCGTCAAATATTGGTTTCGAGAGTTTCGTGTTAGCCGCAACTCTACTACCGATGAAGTCCGCAGCGGCAGGCCCTCCGATGCGGTTACCGAGGAAAATGTCAAAAAAATACATGAAATGGTGTTGGCTGACCGGAAAGTGAAGGTGCGCGAGCTAGCAGATGCTACAAAGATTAGTACTGAGCGAACACGCCATATTTTGGGCGAGATTCTGCATAAGAAAAAAATTTTTTTCATTCCCAAGGAGGTTACTTTTCACCCCACCTAGTAAGTATCTATAAACGTGTTCTTTCATCTTGTTAAGGTGCATTGTACAACAATATAGTGCCAATTATTATGTTGCAAATTATGTAGAACAAGAATTTCCAAATTCTAATTTAAAAATTAAGCTATCATTAATAACTTCTAGTCAATTTTATGAGGATTGAATCATTACCTGTTTTACAGACAAAATGATTTTACAGATTGTGGCCGAAACGTCTAAAAATTTTTTTATTAATGTAATAAATAATTAAATTTCACAAACAACATCCAGTGCTGTGGTTTTATGCTTTTTTTTATATGTTTGATTTATAAACCACGTTCCTTAGAATTATTTATTTTAAATTATTTCTTGCTGTACATAAAGCTGTTTACACAGATGTCCCATTTCATTGTTCAGTTCGTTGGCTTAGTGCTGCGAAATGTTTAGAAGTTTTTTTCTTGCAATAAGAAAAGACGTTCTCCTTTTCCTGAAAGAAATGACTCAAAATTTTACATATATATCTCTTTTGGAAGATGTCACTTTTCTTACTGAACTCTCTTTTATTACTGATATAAGTAATCAACTTAATTTAGAGTTGCAAAAGATGGATCAAAATATTTCTCAATTAGTTAGTCACGTTGATTCTTTCCGAAAAAAATTGCAGTTATTAAAATTTAAATGATAATATTTTTCATTTTTTTCCTTCTTGCCGAATTCTTCTCGAAGAACATGACAATAACTGTAATTTCAAAGAATATATTCATTTTCTAGATTCTCTTATAGACGAATTCGATACACGGTTTACTTGTTTCGAGAAACTCAGAACTGAATTAATTCTTTTCGAAAATCTCCTTGCAAGGCCAATTGAAAGACAACATATTGACTTGCAAGATGAATTATGTGATTTGCAGAACGATATTTCACTTAAAACGATTAAAGAAATTGGTGCCGATTTTTACAAAATGTTGAATAGAATTATCATACCCCAAGCTTCGTGATTTCGGACTTCGAATTCATTCCATGTTTGAATCTACATATTTATGTGAGACATCCTTTTCAAAAATGAAACTTATAAAAAATGAGAGACGTTTTTCCTTGAGCGATGATTCTTTGCCTCGTCTTATACGACTCTCTATGTGTGATATACAAATCGATGATACCGATCTCGCCAATAAAATATTCCGAAAATCAGAATAAGTATTTTTCATTTCACTTCGTTTGTGTTTAATTACGTATCGTACAATTCATCATTTTTATCAGTGGACTAGGTCTACTGGGGATACTACTAAAAAAAAACCGCGTCAACAATAGTATCTTAAGGATGACATGAAAAACTATTGAAAATTCATTGGATGTATTTGTTTTGAGCGCTTACACGTTGCTTCATTTTGTCTTAATTATATAATGAGCGAAAAAAAAAGATAGAATAAAGTTTATAGCGTGAGCGCCCAAATTGAGTGCACCTCATGTCTATATGTTATACGCTCCTAAGCGCCGAGCGGCATTTGGACTGTGCGCGAGGTGAGTGAGGAGGCAAAGAGCGGGAGGCGGAGCCGAGTCGAAAATCAGCTGAGAAATGCAAATCTTGCCGAGCCCTGTATTAAATTATGAAGTAAAGGGTATTATTAACCGATGGCCGTAGATAAAAGTCCTCATTGATCAGTTATTCGTTGATTGGAACGAATTAGAAACACCAGAAGAATATGAAATTATGGAGAGATATGCCAAGAACAGCAGGCGATATTCTTTGGGATACTCACGTAAGAATTAATTATGCCACTTTCATTTTCATACTCATTTCTTTAATACATTTGTTTACAATTTAGCTAACGCTTCATCTATGTGTAGTGTATTATTATTTTGGCATGTATACATTTATATCCCTATCTCTCGTACCGCAAGTGTTGGATGTCGTTTTACCTCTCAATGAATCTCGCCCTATATTGCCGATATATCCAGGATATTACTTCGTTGATGAAAGAAAATATTTCTTCTATATTTTTTCACATGCTGTTATGGCTTGGGAAATTGCTGTGACTGTGATACTCTCCCACGATTGTATGCTCTTAACTTACATTGAACACATCTGCAGTATTTTCACTTTAGTAGGGTAAAAACAACATATATAGATCTATTTAGCAAAATTGACACCATACGCATATATCATTGCAATTATATTTGCAGATTTCGGTTTGAACGATTAATATATAACAATACTATGAAAATGTTACATTCTCGCACAAGTGACATGTACTGTAAACAAATTACATTCTCCGTGTATACGCACCGAAAGGCTTTAAAGTGAATAATCTGTCAATATAAATAAAAAGAGAAATTTCGATTTTTATTATTATCATATTCCTCACTTTTTGTCATAGGTTTGCCCAATTGATCGGAGAGACGTTTTCATTAACTCTTACTATACAACTAGTGCTAAATACAATAATGATCAGCATTACATTGTTACAAGTACGTGTTTATTCATTTCAAGATTCTATCCAATGTGTTTTCCATTTATTAGGTGTTGGAATTAATTCGTAGCGTTTTTTAATGAAAGAATGTTATTTATTTCACATGAGCATTAAAAAATACATTAATGAAAGTACTTCCCATCTCTTGTAAAACGCTACGAATTAATTCCAACACCTAATAGAATCTGCAGATATAATTATGTATTTTCTTTTAAATTGTAAAAGAGGGCGATGAATTAAAAAATATATTTTTCGTATTGTAGGTCACGCAACAGCAAGCCGGTATTTTAGAATTAATAAGGTATATGATGTATGTCATTGGTCAATTAATTCATCTGTTCTGCCTCAGTTTCGAGGGGCAAAAGCTGATAGATCACAGTCTTCAAACCCGTGATAAAATGTAAGACAAATAATTATGTAATAATTTTATTGGAATTTAATTCATTGAAACATTGCAGTTATAACAGTTTTTGGTATGAAACACCTCTCAAATCACAAAAGATGTTTCTGTTCATCATGCGAAAGAGTTTTCAACCTATTTTCTTAAGCGCTAGCAAAATATACATTTTCTCAATGGAAAACTTCACTATGGTAAAGATTACAATATACATTGTAATTATCGTAAAATAGCAATTTATTTAATAATTTAATTTATGTTTTAAGATTGTCCAAACTTCAATATCATATTTTACTGTACTTTCGTCCTTGGAATAATTAAGCAATAGTCCATGCCCAAATATTGTATTATTTCTGCATCTAATTTATCCGTAAAACCATAATCGATCTTATGTAACATCAAAGCAAGTTTGTTACTCATTTGCGTGTGAGTATTATTTACAGTAATATTGTAACTTATTATAGTGTGAATTTTTGTTATTCTCTTTGTGTATTTATAGTATTAGTACTTGAGAAATCAAACAAAACTTGCATCATATTATAAAAAAATATTCACATCTCCAAAATGTTTTATGTAAATGAAAGAAGAGTATGAATGTTAGTAAAATATAATTGTAAGATTTAATAATTTAGGAAAAACTATCTATTGTTTTCATAACAGAATATATAAGGATCGCTTACCAATAACATTTCGCAATATAAAATATAAATCACACTCATTGATCCTAAAGCGTCTGAATTGTGACGATTGCGTTGTCACAATTCCACATTGAAATACGAATTCGGCCGAGTATTAAAAATTTCGATAGAACTATAAATAGCCGCTCAAACAAAGGAATCAGCTGTTAAAACACAGACACGTAACACATACATACATAGATACGCAACATACAATACATCGCGACAATGAGATGCGATTGAGCAGAGGCCTTTTAAAACACCTAAATACTTTTTACGGAATGGTTGGATATAACAGGATAATAGAAGTCAAGCACAGTAATGCTTGTGCAGGCCAATATGATTAACAAAACAATTTTAATAATAATTAATCCGCTTACATATTTCGGCTCACTTTTGAGCCATCCTCAGAGACAATATGATGTTGTAATTACAAAAAACTTTTTTACAAACTAATTCATTTCAGTAAGCCACCTCCTACTAACGGAAACTATAATATAAAAACTAACTTTAATAACAATCTAAAATGTATTAAAATTATTAAAAGATAAATTTGTTGGGGGAGGGGAGCAAAAACTATTTATTGTAAAATAATAAAAGGCTCACTAAAACAAAAATTCACCATATCGCAAACACTTAAATTCTCTCGGTGTAGAATTACGGAACATAAAACGCGTAGACTTTTCGAGCATGAGGAAATTGGTGACAGGAAACAATCACAATTTTTGCGGCACCTTCATGGATTTGCCGGAAATGTAATTGATGATGCGGACCGTTTGGCTAAGTCGATTGCCGCATTAGGTGACGCGCACCACGGACACGATCGAACAGTTGGCAGATCACCGATGCAATTGTGGATGCAACTCGGGCGCCGACCTTTTATGTCGCGGAAGCCGCGCGAGTTCCTACGCAACAGATCTCACAATTTACGAATGACGATGCCTCCGCTAAAGCAAAATTAGAGTTCCGCTTGGCGCAGTTAATGAATGTGCAACAGGGAATGACAGAACAATTGCTATTCAGAAATCAATTAAAGCGATCGACGAGCAAAGATAACAGCGGCGGTTGATGTCAAGAACGTTCGCGTGCGAAATCACGGTCGCAGAGCCATGGTCATGCAACCAACGGATTTTACTGATATCATTGATGGTTCGGACCGGACGCACATAGATACGAAACACCCTCCTCGGCGACGCAAGGAAACGCGGCGACTGGTCGTTGATAGCGACAGGCCATTTGGGTCTGAAAAGACATCGTTTTTTTGTCATGGATGCGGAGACAAAAATGAATTTTTTAATTGACACCGGCGCGGATTCGTGCGTGTATCCATGGAAAATGATCCGGGGATCACAATAGAAATCAGTCTACGAGCTGTCGGCAGCCACTGGTAATTTAGGGTGCGTCACTAAAATTCGAACAAATTGAACAATTTTTTTTACAAACAATTTCTTAAACAAAATGTTTTTAATGAAAAATTAAATATTACAAAAAATCCTTTTACATGGAACTTAGGGGATCCCTTTAGAGTACAATTATTCAATATATCCCCCATTATCTTGAATGACGGCCACTATTCTCGGTCTGAAGCGTTTGCACGCATGTTGTAATGTAACGCTGTCCATGCCGACGAATGCTGTCTCAATAGTCTTTAAGTAAGTCACATTGGGATGTCAAGACTTGTTTGTGACCCTTTCAACTACGCTCCATACGTAGTAGTCCAAGGGATTTAAATCGGGGCTGTGGGGAGGCCAGAAGGGGAGCCGAGACGAGTAACTCGGCTTGTCCTGGCAGCCTCAGAGAGCATCTGTCGTATCTTTAATGTGTACGATTTATATCAAAGTCCTTCTCGGCAATTCGACGTATTGTTGGCACGCTTACATCAACAATCGATACTAATTTTCGCAACGATTGCCCTCCGGGTCATCAAATCAGCGTTTGAAGTCTTTCAACGACTGCGGGGATCCTCGCGGTGCGTTCTTTCAAGTGACTTTTCCTCGCTGGCATACTGGAACCTTCGTTGGATTGTTCTAAAGCCGTATATTTTGCCATAATATCATAAATGGTTGATCTCGGATATCCAAAGAACGAATTATTTCCGTTGCTGAGCGCCCAGCGCAAAGACCTTCGATGATCGCTCTTCGATTATACTCCGCATTTGGTTTCAACATCGCGACCATTCTGAGAATATGACTGTTTATTAGAAGCATCAGGCTTTCTCAGACGCCAACAATAACCTCTGACGGAGACATAATATAGCGGAAAATTTAAATTGAAATTTGTCCTGATTTTGGTGATGCACTCTGTATTTAGGATATCAGCCATTTCGTACACTGAACCAACGACTTTAAGAATGCAATGTTGGACGCAGTGAATTTTTTTCCAAATGCAGTCTTTCCAGTAAAAGGTGTATTTCTCGTCTCTTTCGGCTGTTCGTCCAACATAAAAATCTCACGTTAGCACCGCCACACATGCAACCTAACTGTGATCTCTTCTCCGCGAAAATCAAGCAATCGACCATCTTGGTCCACTACGTGAATCATCAGATCCGTAATGCTCCATACAACGATCGAAAGATCTGCGTCAGCCTTTCCGATATCTTATGTCCTGGTGGCACGCGCGGCGAAAATTCGTGTATCGTGTGCACGCACTCACAGTCACGTTGCACTCGATACGATGATGTATACGTAGATCATATTTATCGGCATGTGCGATTCATGCCACTGTCGCGGTTCTAGCATGCGATTCGATAAAAATCCCAGCTGCGAGCCAATGTTGTAAGGTTTTGCAAAATTTATCCGATAGGCGCATTTGATCTCATCATATTGTTGTTGGCGCAAATAATCAGCGAAATCTTCATTCTCTTTGTCCTTCGCATCGTGAGAACGTAAAATTTCACGCTTCAGATACCACTAGATATCATGCAGTTCGTACAATTCTTCAAGAATGACAATTTCCTCGTTGCCATAGTAAAACTTGTTGTTTGTTGAATTTACATTGACTAGAGTATAAGTATGTCAAAGTCCGTCAGACCGAGCTCGTAACCATCGTCATCCAAATCTACCGCTAAAAAGTAGCTTACGATAGAGATAGGCGATCTCATACGATTTGGATGTGAATCGATATTTCACCCCGATTTATCGATATTTTAATCGATCTTTGCTTGGCCGATTAGTCAGGAGATTGATCTTTTAAGCATAAATCTCAATCTTGATCCACAATGGGTGCATTTAATATTATGATCACTCACTGAGCTCTCACTGAGCATTTGTAGTACTGAATGCACTCATTCAAATTTCTATTGTAGAACGCCGAGCCTAATCAAGCCGCGCATGCGCATTAGAGAAATTGCTCATGCAGACATCATGCTGACACTAACGCAGAGCGTTGATTGGTGAAAAACGAAAAATGGAAGTAAATTTTATTCCTATCACTTGTTTTTCACCAAGCCCGGTGTCGAAGTGTCAGTGTCTGCAATGCAGATATTCCTTAAATCAAGGAGGGAAGTTCGAATTTCGTAACGCAAATGTTTTTCGTATACGTTAGTTTGCAAGTAAATTTACGAGGGCAAGTCAATAAGTTCTTAGAAAATCTGTCAGAGGGCACTCGCAATGTCACATTTTTGACAAGTAGCATCTTTCAGCTAATTACTGTCAAATTTTGAGCAGAATTCATTGCGTGGTTTCATTTCTGTAGACGATTAAAGTGAACAACCTTTGTATTTTTTGCAAAATGGAAAAAAACAAGTTTCATGCAGTCAAACATAAAAGGTTTAACACCGAAAGAAATAAAAGTTGGATAACGTTCACATCTGCACCAGCGTTTGTGACTGTATACAATTGGGTGAATGAATTTAAACGTGGTCGTACATCTACATGTGATGCACCTCGTTCGGGACGTTCAATTGAGGCTGCTACCAGAAATCATTGATAAAGTCCACGATATTGTTTTGAATGATCGACGAGTAAGTGCGCGAGGCATAGGCATATTACATAACACAGTGATTTCAATTTTGCACAAACAATTGGGTATGAAAAAGCTATCGGCAAGGTGGGTGCCGCGTTTGATCACTATGGACCATAAGCGCGACCGTGTGACGATTTCAAAATAATGTTTGGAGATATTTCAACGTAATCCAGATGAATTTCTGCGTCGATTCATTACTGTCGATGAAACATGGATATTACTTCACACCCAGACGAAGGAACAGTC